GGCGAGCTGCTCTGCGGCGACCTGCCCGCCGACGCCCTGCAGCACTTCGCCGCCCTTGTGGAGGAGGTAGGGGCCCGGCCTCGTGGACAGGCACCGCGGGGTGCAGGTATCACCCTGGTGCCAGTGAGGCTGGGCACCCCGCGAGCGGCTATTCCTGGCCTGCTGGGGCTAGTAGGCTATAGGCATAGCCCCTTGCACCGCGTATTGTGTCCAGCTCCAGAGAGATGGGCACCCTCGGCTTCCCCGGGGCCAAGCACAAGGCCACAGACCCAGGGCCAATGTGATGCAGGTGTCGCCCCTCATGCCAGGCGTCCCTGCCTGCCTCCCCTCTGCTGGTACACTGATACCCTTAACTCGGCCTTTCCTGGCACCTCCTAGTCCAAGGGGATGTTTAGAAATCATTTACACCCCCCAGAGCCTAATTCTTGTCAAGTCTGGTATTATCCTTGTGGGTCTGGTCTGTGTTACTGCAGATGGGATGACTTGTTCCCTTAGGGCTCTTCAAAAGGTGCAAGTGGTCTTTGTTTCCTGAATTAGTAGCCCAAACTACACAGCATTGTCCGTATTTTTTCCTGATGGATTCCTATCTCTGCGATAAAGCTGTAATGGGACAGTAGATGAGTTGCTCGTGCTGGGGGTGCTGGTAGTGCTGTTGGTAACACTAAGATGCTGACTGACAGATTCAGTTCCCCAGTGCAGGCTGTCAAACTAGCTATCTTGATTTTTGTGGGATAATGCATTATTTAGGTGGGGAGATTTTACGTTTTGAGGTGTTTGAGCATGATGAACTTGGTAAGTCTCCACAAACAGCGGCTTTTGCATTGTGCTTTTGTTTGTAAATGATGACAGGTAGCGTATGATATGCATCGTAAACACAGTCTGTTATAGAGAGATTTGGGGGTAGGAATATTTTAGTAGATACTTTCAGATCTTGTTTGCTGGCTGTCCTCAGCAACTCATACTGTTGTTTGACTTATTTGACTCCACGTTCCTGTTTGTAGACTATTCTCTTCCTTCACCCTTTAGTGACAGATGTGTTAAGTCTTATTGATCTGTAGGGAGCAGATCATGTCCGCTGCCCAAGTATGTTCCCGCTCGCTGCTCGGAGTTACTTTAAAGATAAACAGAGTGGTTGTGCAGGGTCAAGAGAACATGGTGGACCTGCGAGATGGTGAAAAGTGTCTTGAATTTCCTGATGTGTTGGAGCCTCTGCTTGCATTGCTCTTTTTGTAAGGAAACAGTCCAGGCAACAGACAATCTTTTATGAAAGATTTTTAGGGCAGTCTTAGAAGGCTTTATCCAGTCAGAGAAACAGTCCACACCAAATTTATCGTGGGCTATATAGAGGATTAGGAATAGATACACAGAAACTGTGTCTTGAAATCCAATCAGAAAGTACAGTTGAACTGCAGATCACAGCAGCTGGGTTGGAGGTTGGGGTGACCTTTTCTACTTGTTGCACTCAAAATCTTGTTATGGCTGAAGGGGGGACACCACCTCTGTGCAGCTGGGAATTTGTTGTTTAGTCCTATTCGTGTTTTAACAATCTAATGGAAATATAACAACCAACTGTTATTAGGGCCTGTCGCAACAATGCTAGTGCTAACAGTCTAAATGATCTAAGTAGTAGTAGTAGAGCAGTATCTTAATAATACAGTTAAAACTGTTGAATATAAACTCCCCCACTATCTGCTGCTGTTCTCTGAGGTAGTGCTCACCCTTTCTGTGCCCCTATGGGTCCTGAGGTTGATAATGTGGGTCTTTCTCAGGCCGTCAGTGTCAGTTGTGATTGCAATGAGTCATCAGCATCCTAAGGCCTTAACCCAGAGGAGGACCATGGTGGCGGGATGGTTTATTCCTTCTCAATTTTGGGTCCATTTGTGGCTATTTTTATACCTTTTCTTACGACAACCTGCTGCTGCTTCATCAGCACTCAGCTAAAGCTTGCCAGTTGCCCAGCAACCTCCCCCAGTGCTGCAACACAAAGGGCTCTTGTTTGTCACTAGGGACTACAGGCTTTGTCACAGAGGGTGCTCCCAGAGCTGAGCTAACCCGGGGCAATAATCACTGCGGCTATCGCAACCAAAACAACCTAAAAGCAGCTCAGGCCCAGGTGAGCCCAGACCAGCCCTGGGACTTTGTGCTGTCAGGTCAGTACAAAGTCTGTAATCGTTAGTAATGGCAAAAATAATATTTTCCAAAAGATGTAGCCCACTAAATAACCTTAAAAGTACCTGTTCTCAAGACTTGCAGTGCAGATTGGAAGGGGACTTTGGTGGCCATTACCAACAAGAAGATCCCAAGAGGTACAGGAAGATCCTCCTTGTTTGTGCACTGGGGTTTGCTTAAAGGGATGGTTCAAGGGACCCCCTTGACAACATGCCTGAAGCCCATGCTCCTGCATGCCTCTCCTGCCTGCTGGGAGATGAAACTGGGGGCAAGCCCCAGATGTGTCTTGAAGTGGGGGGGGGGGGGGGGGAGAGGCGGGACCGTTTCCAATTGCAGAGCTGAGAGGCTGAAATAGCCTGAGCAGCCATAGGGCTGGGCTACTCCCTTTGTCTATTTGTCTCCACTCCCCTCAGCTGTCTGGATTTTGGGGAAAGGTATAGTTTCACACAGGCAGCCTCTGTCATCACATGCCACTTGAGAATAGTGCAGAGATTTCTGAGATTTCACCTTCCCCTCACAACAAAACAACCAGGTAGATGCACCTACATGTGTTTGCCAGTAGCCTTATGAGTGATGTCTGCATGGGACAGGAACTTCCAGGACAACAGATAGCGGGTGAATGCCATTGGTAAAGGTAAGCAAAGACCTTTGGAGTCCAGCTTTTCCTAATTTGTTTTATACTGTGAGGGTGCTGAACCTCTTGCTCTTCTACTGGTGCACAAAAGAGGTGTGATGTAGATGAAGCTGGAAGTTCCCACCACAGGCCCAGGCTGAACTGGGCCAGTAAGTTTCATAGACTGGTTTCATCCCTAGCAACAGTT